GTGAACTGAGAACCACTGGGAATGGACTGTGAGGGTCTGGGAGTGGAGTGAGAGGGACTGGGAATTACTGGAAGGGACTGGGAACGCACTTGAATGACTGGGAAGGAACCGAGCGTGACTGGGAGGTCCTGTCCTGAAAAGGGAACTCTGCGCTGCGGGTCTGCCTGGCAACTGATGAGTCATTGCAGAGACGCGCTCTGATTGGCTGAGTGTAGGGAGAGCGGTGGCCTCAGCGGGGTGGAGACGCGGGGGGGCACAAGGAGAGACTGGGATGTACTGGGAGCACTGGGAAAAACTGGTCACAATGAAATGAGGGGAAATGGGAGAGGCTGGGCCGGAGTGGGATGGACTGGGGGGCACTGGGATGGGGCCCAAGGCCACAGGCATGGGCACAGGAAGGGCTGGGGAGTCTGGGGTGATTCCCAGGGAGGGTTTCAGGGGCTCCAGGGTCGTTCCTGGGACAGGGGAATTCCCGAGGGAACCCGCTCTGCCCCGCGCTCACCTCTCCTCTCCACGCTGAACGGAGCATAAAGCTCGTAGTTGTGCCGGCAGACCGTGTCCACCGCAGCCCGCAGGTACTCCATCCTTTCCTGTTGGCTGTTCCAGTACCTGGCCTGGTACTCCCCATACGGGGTGTCCCCCACATAGACCCCCACATCGCTGTCGAAATGGGCGTACTGCTGCCGGTTGTAGATGTTCCTCACCACGAGCCTCACCCGCTCAGTGCCGTTGATGAAGTAACACTCGAATTTAAACATCTCCTGGAACACCCCTGTGTGTGCAGGACACGGGTCAGGGGGTGCCTCGTGTTACCCCCCACCAGCCCCCGGCCCCCCCCAGCAGGTTGGGAGCTCAGAAGGCTCCAGACCACTCTTTCCCACCCCCCTCTGCCCCACGCCTGCCGCAGCACCGGCTCTTGGCTTGGGGGGAATCCCCCATCAGCCCCCCGGGGATGGACAGGCGGGTTGGAGACTCCCTCAGTGCGGATACGACCCCTCCAGAGCTCCAGGGAACCGCTGCAGGGCTCCAGTGATGGGGGACACCGAGGAACCCCCATGGCACCCCCTTCCTGCTCTCCCACCCCCCTTTTCCCACCTC